GAAGCCAGAAGACAGCAAAATAAAGGCTTGCCTGGGCTGGGGATATACCTCAGTGGCAGAACGTACTCTTGGCATGTTCCAGTCTCTGTGTTCAATACCCAGTACTGATTAATCAACCGTTAGTATAAATAATAAGTGACCAATAAATTTAAGAACTTTGGCTTAGTCCAGAGAGAGGAGTTTCAAACCATGATGTAAGTGGAGAAAGTTGAATCAGAGGAAAAAAAGGTTTTCTGAAAATATAGTATCATGGTTTTTAAATGAATTCCATTTCTGTTTCCCAGAAAAGGAGGCTAAATCCTCTAGGTGTGTTTCTGGGATTAGAGAAAAGAAGAAATAGAAGGAATTGGCTGCAGGGAAAAATCAGTTCTCAGTGAATAGAACGAATCAGAAAAGGATATAATAAGGCTGTAAAATGCCCTGTGTTTGGCTATGGAGGAGGAAACTTAGGGAGAGTAATAGCTCATACTGCATTCACTCAAAAGGTATGCCCGGGTATATGGCCCCCTGATATTTTTTAAATAAAGCATTAAAAACTTTCTTATAATAGTGTACTTCAGAAAATGGAAACAAAAATGGAAATTAAAGGATGCTGGGAAGCCAGGCTGCGAACTACAGGTCCTACATGCATTGACCCATAAAAGTCTTCAGAAAACCGGAGGCAACATATTGGACTTCATATTTATGACAAAGATTGGAGTTCATGTGTGTAGATGTTAAAGGAAGGATGATCTGGCAGGAAGCAGAAGAAGCCAAGAACACCAAAAGGACCCTGCCTCTAAAGCACCAAGAAAGCTGGAAGGGATTATTATCTCTTAGCCATGGACTTCCCCCTTTGCTTTTGATTTATAGATAGTGTCTCCTAGTCATTTATCAGACAGTAGAGCGATAAGAAATAGTCCCTATGTCCAGCTCTGCCCTGACAAAGCACATTCTGCCCCAATGGAAGCCTGCAAGAATACCCAGAAGCTTGAAAGTGACTCAAAAGAGGATTCTATTTATTTATTATTAGGAAACTATTTAGTTTTAGTGGCAGAAAAATGATTGAGTGGTTAATAAATCCCGAAAAGTGTTTGAAAGTCGATGAGAAGCCTGAGAAACTGGCAGAACAGGAGGAAGAAAATGAGAGAACTTGAGGAAACACTGCCTTCTTCCTGCCCTAAGGAAAGACGCAACCCAGAACACAGCCAGCTAAGTAGGACCATGGGAGAATAAAGAAAATCACATTTACTGTGACCTAGAAAGCTTCTCATGGGAGACAGTCTTGGGGGAACACGGGGATTAAGATCCTAGGTATTGCAGACAACTGTGCCTTCTGCTGGTTGGGCCTATGGTGTAGATAAGAAAGTGTATAATTGGGATCAGCACTGCTTCTCTTCCCAACACTCAGGTTTTTTGCCCCAAAGGGTCTCCCACTAGAGCTGGAGCACTGAGCCTCTAGCTTGGTAGGGCATGTGGGATTGAGACTCAGACAGCTGTACTGACCTTCACTGTCTGCCTGCAATTTTGGGTCCATCAGAACTAGTTTCTATTCCCATTAGAAATGGCTCATTTTCCTGGATAATGGGGATATCAAGGCCATCTTCCAAAGGTTAAAGTGAGTGAATCCACACAAATACTTTGAATAATGGATGACCCGAGTAAGGCTGTAGTTATTAATATTGTGGTGGTGGCTATTGTCATCATTACCTAACAGAACTATTGGAATATGAGGCAGATTTGGGAAATAGTTGTTTATTTGAACACCATCTGTCATGGGTAAAAAGAGGGAACATGGAAAAAAACGTTGCTTGATAAATAGAAGTATGGGGGTGGCGAGGAGTGTCAGGTCCAAATGTCAGATCTAGATCCAAGCCCCAAAGCCCTCCTTCTTACCCCTAAAATTGAGGCAGCATCTCACAATGGAGTTCTGGTCCACTGGTTGGAAACGCACTATTGTTGCTCTTCAGCCCACAGAGACCCACCCACCTCCGCCTTCGAAGTGCTGAAAAATGGTACTCTTGACATAAGCTGGGTAACTCTTCAAGTTTATACTTTGTGGAAAGTGTCCTCCTCTTTGGAATGCTCCAACCCAAGGCACCATTCTTTGCTAATGGTTTCTCACACACAGAGAAAAGACATTCCAAGGTGCTCAAGAGACATGAGAGAAACTGGATCTGTTACCTGTGATCCCAAGAGACCCTTAATTAGCTCCAGGCCCATTCTTGTCTTCTGACTGTGGGCTGCTCTGTGTTCTTCACATGTTCAACTTCTAATCCAGCTGGGAGTGTGACCTGAGAGAGGAGTAGATGTACAGACACCTTCAAGCGTTGGGTTCAATGGACCCTAGGTCAGGTACTGGTGTTCTCATAAGAAGGGAGAAATGTAGTCACAGGGAAGGAAAGACACACCAAGGAAACACAAGTGGTGAGTGTGTGAGCTAGGCACTGCCAAGGATTCCCAACAGCCCACAGGCCCTAAGAAAAGGCAAGGACAGACCAGGACCTTCCCAAAGTCTTCATTTAATATTTAGAACTTCTAGACCTCTGAGGAATACCTTTCTGCTATTTTAAGCTCCCGCTTATGTGGTTACTTGATACAGGAAGGTTTGCCAGCAATTAGCACTGGTCCCACCGTGTGTGCTGACTTCAGATGAGTCAGGGCTCCATTGCTCTGTGGCTCTTTCCTGGAATCTTTGCAAAGGGACGGGAGGAAGCATCAGTCTGTCGTAACTTGAGCCCTGTGCCCTGCATACCACAGGGAAGAGCAAGCAGGAGTCCTCATTGAAGGATGTAGTGGGAATTTTATTTCTGGTTCACCGTTCCTTCTGGGTGGGGTCACCTGGCATATGCTTGCACACCTGACAAAAACCCTAACAACCACTGATTTTTCTTTTGCCATTTTACCCCCTACCTCTTCTCAAAGTATCAAGATACATTTTTCTCAGCTTCACCAGAAAGAGGAAAAGTAAATTAATGTCTCCAAAATTTTTCCATCTTGTTACTTGTGTATTGATGGCAAGAAAGGAGACTGGCGACAAACCTATGCACAGTGATGGAACATTCATGGTGACACATGTTTATTGTAATCTAAGTCTGGCTCCTTACACAGCAGGTTCTCTGTGTAAAATGGAAAGAGAAATGGACACTGTGCAGGAAAAAAAACGAGTCCACAATTTTCTTTAAATTCCAATCTTGATTGTTTCTCTCTGGGTATTCTAGGGAATGTCGTGGTCCTCATGAGATAAGGGCATATTTTAAGTCAAGTGTGATATGTGTCATACTTGAGAGTTCTAGAAACTGGACAGGAGGATGTGAGGAGAAAAAACAGAGAGGAAGAAATGAGTAGCTTTAAGATAAGATACAGGACAAAAGTTATTAGAAAGAAACATCTCAAGATGCAGGGCCTTCAGTCCTGTCTCTAGGCACCAGGTTAGAGCACCAGGGAATGGAGCACAGCTTAGAGAACCCCCTGCAATGGGCGTGAGTCCACCCCTCCCTGTCTCAACTCTCCATTAGCTATCACCACTCGGAAGAACATACAGCTTCAGCAAGAGATTTCTCGACAGTATGGAGTGCAGAACGACGCCTTCCTCAGTTGTGCCCATGGGAGCTGCTGTGCCTAAGCACTGTAATAACAGCCTTCTTCTCATTTTTTTTCTCAGTGGAGAATCCACTGAAGTGGGAAGCCGTGGCCAGCTAGGAGATACACTGTCAGTTTCCTGATGGAGGAGGTTTTGTGGAGAACCATAAGGGCCCACTGACAAGTAGGGCTTACATGAGTTCCTTCCCTAGTCTTATTTCCACTCTGCTCCCCTATTGAAGTCTACAGAGCAGCAAGGACTGCCAGCCTCTCTGGAACCTTCCAAAGTAATAAAAGAGGATTTATTCTTTGGGTGAGAGTGGCCACATGGCTGGTACTTAGCACACTCAATGAGGGTTGCATCTGAGGTCTAGCTTGTCCCCACCCCTGTGTCAGGACCCGATTCTTTGTAGGCAACATGCAAGGCAAGGCTCATTCAGCTGTATGCTGAAACTCTTTCCTGGTTCCAGGTCACTAGGGAAGGACTCTATGAAAGACCATGAGTTCTCTCGAGGAAACGTGTCCAGGAGCAGGGGCCTGGGAAGCTCACAGTCAGTGGACACAAACTAATGACTGGAAGTATTGACAAAGAACCACAATAAATATTTTATGGTTGTCACCCAACACATGAACTCACACATACAAACATAACGAGACAAGCACAAAAATACAAAAATTTTCAAAATTGTTTGTTTTATTCATTTTACTTCATTGGGCTCTCAGCCTTTGTTGATTTCATAGACCCTAGAGTGTGAACAGTTTGAGAGATTTTGGAAGTCAAACTCCCGTGTCATCTGTGAGATAAAGGATTCTTTCTTTGCTGGAAAGGCAATGGAAATTGAGAGAGAGAGAGAGAGAGAGAGAGAGAGAGAGAGAGGAAATGCCGACATCCTCTTCCTGCTGTTCCCAAAGGGAAAGAAATTCTCACTGAAGGAGCCACGGGAATGTGAGTGGGAAAGCACAGGGTGACTGTGATCCCAAACTTGCACACAATAGTTTTAACGATCAAAGACAATTTCTGGATACCAAAATGGGTTTATGTATTCCTGGGTTTTGTTTCGTTTCTTGCTCTTTCTTAAACAGTGTCTGGTTCACTGTGTAGCCCGGGCTGGCCTAGAATAAAACACTCTCTTACATTAAGGAAATTTGGTCTTTTTATTGAGTCTAAAATACTGTTTTGCTTGTGTTTTTTTTAATCAGAAGAAGAGAAGATTTTTTACTGTTACTATATGTTAGGCTTGAAACTTTACACATTATTATTGATTAGCATTATTGCTGAATCCTCCTTGTCCCCATGCCAAGCAGCTGAATCTCTGCCCCTACTTTCCAGGAAGGGCAAACAAAGTGCAAGGTCGGCCCCACAGATTAATTCGCCGCTGCAGGTGCTCCCTGCAGACAGACACTCCAGCTGGACTGAGGGCCCAGCCATGTCTCTGCTGGCAGCTGGGCTGCTTCTCCTGGGTAAGACGTCCTGGGGCATGGAACCCCTGGGGCAGGTGTGGTATGGATGGAAACTCACAGACTCTGTTCCTACAGGCTTCCTTCTAGGTCCAGCAACTGATGCAGCCACCAACGTGTTGAAGGATAACACAGGAAACAGTGAGCATGGGTTGTAGGAAACCCCTTTCCTAACAGCAGCATGCTAACCTTGGCTCTTTTGCACCCCAAACACCACCAGTTAGCCTATGCTATGGGCAGACACTGGGTCCCTGCTAGAAATCTGGGCAAACCTGACTCTGACTTATAAGGCCCTGAGGCTACCAAAAACCTCCAGCTGCTCAGAAATGGGATGTTCCAGTAGCTTGTCCATGTTGACCTACCTCCCATATCAGACCCATTCCCATTGGGAGCAATTGCAAGTGACAATAGGGACCTCGACCAAATTCAGTAAGGCTTGGACCACTTTGATGGAAGGATGGAGATGAGAAATTTCATGGAGGCGACAGGGACGGATAGACAGGATCTTAATGGGGTAAGAAGACAATGGGAAGGAGTAGATGGAGGAGCCTCTATCCCTGCTTGCTCATCTGTTAAGTGGGAATGTTTGTGCTGTCCTCAGAGGCTTATGAATAAGTCCTGTAGAGTGCTGGGGACAGGGGACAGGCCTGTCACAGAGTAGTATTCTGCTCCCTGTCTCCAGCTTCCACCCCCACCCATCCCTGCCTCCCTTCTATTTTCTGAGTCTGGAGTTCATACCCTTGCTGCTTCCAGAGTGAGACCGAAGCACTCACTGACCCTGCTCTCCCCGCTCCACAGAGCTCTTGCCCAGACCCTGGCTTTCTGTTGAGCCCGTGTCCTGGATCACACCTGGCCTGAGCACATTCCTGACGTGCCAGGCGCCGCTGCCAAATGTAGCCTTCCTGCTGAAGCGGGAAGGAGATATTGGTTTCCCGGAAGTAGCTGAACCCAATGGCTTCCTGGAACTAGCTGGACCCGATGGTTTCCTGGGGACAGCTAAAGCCAGGAAAGGTGACGAGGAACGGGCCACCTTCCTAGTCCACAAACCGGGCACCTACAGCTGCAGCTACCTAATCCATACATCAGCTGTGCCCTCTGCACCCAGTGATACTGTGACTATCAAGGAGTATGGTGAGTGCTCGATCCCAACACAGAAAAGTTGGGTGGAAAGACCTGATGCATCGCGTCCGAAGACAAGCTGTCCCTGGGGGTTTGGGGCCAGACAGAGGGCAGTTCTTTGTGGGACCCTACAATACCGGGTGTCCTGGATTCCTGCCTCGGGATCTCCCCTGCCTTGCAGTCATACCGCCTCCACCGGTGCTGACCTCTTCCGGAAGTGTCACGGTGATCCTACTTGAGAAGGCCCACAGGACCCTTGTCTGTGAGGCTCCACTGATGGATGTTGAATTTCAGCTGAGGCAGGGTGAGCACAAGCTGAAGCTCCCCTCCATCAGCACCAGCCCAGAGCAGGTCAAGTTCTATCTGAAACGATCGGATCTGGGGGACCAGAGCCCATTCACCTGTCGCTACCGTCTACACCGCAATACAGCTTGGTCCAAAGACAGTGAGCCCGTAGAACTAATGTGGAGTGATGGTGAGCCTCACGACGGGGGGGTGGGAGTAGAGGGGGGTCGACAGGGACTGCAGATCCAGAGCAGGTGGTAAGGCACGAGGGGTAGTCAGAAGCAAGCAGGATAGGTAGGCAGAATCCCCAAACCAGAACAAATTATCCAGTTAGCCTCAGTTTCCCAAGCCTCAAATAGAACAATTAACACAGCAACCTTAAGATCTGCAAAGAACTGGATCACCACAAAAGTGATCACACAAGGCTCAGACTTTGATGGGATGCCTCTTGTCAGAGTATTCTAGAAAGAATTCAACTGCACGTCCACGGCTTGCCAAGGCTAAGAGCCTGAGGCAGTGGCACAATATTAAGTATGGTCTTGGCTGTCCTTCAAAAGCAGACAAGAAAGGAGGAGGGAAGGTCACTTTAGGCAAAAGACTCGCCACATCACAGGCTGGACCACGCATGGGTCCCTTGCTGTGCCTTCAAACTGGGCCAATGTGTCTGATCCTCTACAGAGACACTGCCGGCACCAGTGCTCACTGCCGAGCCATCGAATCAGACCACTGAACCTGATTTGATGGTGCAGTTTCGATGCACCGCCCCTAAGGCTGGTCTGCGCTTCGGCCTGCACCGTGAAGACCCGGATGAGAGCATCCTGCTGCAGACGCTGAAGACAGCTGGCAACGAGGCTGTCTTCCAGCTGCACAACGTCTCAGCAAAAGACTCTGCCGACTACAGCTGCATCTACATGGAACTAGCCCCGCCCTTCTCTGGATCTGCTCCCAGCGAGTTCGTGGAGCTGACTGTGAACGGTGAGCTGAGCATAGCCACGTGATTAGGAAGTCCCATGGGGTGCTCCTATAAGGGATCGGATTCCTGGGCTGTGATCTTGTGAGGGGCCATTCTTTTTATGTTGCACCTTAACAAGGCTTAGGACTTTGAGGTCCTTGAAGTTGCCTCCCTCCGATAAGGCGTGGAACTCTGGTCTTTCTTCACCGGAGTTGGAACTAGAAGTGGGCAGGCGAAACCGTGTTCAAGAGGATTAGGGTCTGAGCTGTTCCTGTTCAGATGCACCCTGCTCTCTTTGGTTTCCCTGTGCTGCAAGTACATCAGCTCCACTCAGAAGCAGCCACTGCCTGTTCTGGCCTGGGGCTGTCCCCACAGTTTGAGCTAATGTGTAATTTTCCAGAGCCCTCGAGTCCCTGGGGTCTATTTGTTCCTCTGATTTCCTCATCGAGGTCTCCTTGGGTCAGAGGTCAGCCAGGTAGAGAGACCACACAGAGCTTCCAGTCAGGCTTAAATTTGACCCCAGACCTTTGAACTGTGCTTCTGCCAGAAGCAGTATCCTGAAAGGTTTCTTCATCTATCTGGGAAGTCAGTGAAGCCCTGGGATAGGCTAAAGCCTGGCAGATCTCATAGCTTGTGATGCTGGAAGCTGCATACCTGGAAGAGATACAAATGGATACCCAAGGAGAGAGGCAACAGAGGGAGTTGTCTGACCCAGAGTGGGTAGTGCAAACAAAGTAGCCAGAGTAAAGTCACCATGGGGCCTGACAAGAAATGTCCCAAACTGAGTATCTTCCCTCACACACACCCCCCACAACCAGGGCCACCACCACCACCAAAGCTCCAGGCGCTATGGACAGGTAAAGTACCTGCTGGCAGTGATGTTGTTCTACGCTGCCAGAGCAAGGTGCCCGGGGTCGTCATGGAGCTGCTGCGCGGTGGCAAAATTGTCCCCTACCGGATATACAAAATAACAAGCTCCTGGAGTGACCTGGGGCTACCCTTAGTGGGTCCCCGACATACGGGTAACTACACCTGCCGCTATACCTCCTGGAATCCTTATCCCTTCCACTCAGAACCCAGCAACCCTGTGGAGCTCATAGTAGAAGGTATGACTTGCAGGGGGCTGAGGTTGGGTTTTGCCTCTCAGTCTTGGCTGTGCTGGGCACTGGTTAACTGTGTAATCCAGGCTAGTATGCAAAGTCCCTATGGCAATGTGCTGCATCAATTCATCCATTTCTTTGTCTAGAAAGGTGATGTAGCCGCAGACACAGGACACGATGGTATTCTTGGAAAGAGGCGAAGATGGGCAGAACTCTTATGCTTTCTTCCCACTGCAAGATGCATTTCCCTCAATCACCCTGTACTTATTAAAGGTCAAGCAATAGTTTACTTAAAGTGTGTGTCTTCCACTTGTGGGTCCAGTGTGCCTGGGGAGGGGGCTGTTATTCTATGCCTGGTGTAGTTAGAGGCTGCTTGTCCATTTTTCAGCTGCCTAGACCTGAAATAATCAGTTAGAAACTATATTAATTAAATTACTGCTTGACCAATCACTTAAGTCTATTGCTGGGTAGCTCTTATATCTTAAATTTATCCATTTCTATAATCTGTGTATTGTCACATGACTATGATTTACCAGGCAAACTTCTGGCATCTGTCTCATCCAGTGGTTACATGGCGTCTCTCTGACTCTGCCTTCTTTCCTGCCTTGCTCTATTCTGCTAAGCACTGGCCAAAAGAGCTTTATTCATTAGCCAATGAAAGCAACACATATACAGAAGGACTTCCCATATCATTTCCCCTTTTCTGTTTAAATAAAAGAAAAATTTTAACTTTGACATAATACAATTTCATATAACAAAACAGGTACCAAGCAAGAATTACAGTTAGAATAATTTATCTTTTATCATAACTAAGGAAATCTATAATTATAACTATCTATTCAACTCCTTCAGAGACCCCAGAAGGACATATTACCTAAATAAACAGAAAGTGCATTGTAAGCAACTTCCAAAACTCAAGAATTGACAGAGACATCACACTGCATGGACAGTCACCCAAAGTTCTTCTATAACATTGGGGCATTCATCTTCAGCCTACAGGCCCATAGTATCCAGCAAACTTTTCCATGAAGCAAGAAATTTCAAAGACAGTTCCACCTATGTTGGCACTTTGTCAGTCACTTTCTTCTGTTTCCTGCAGAATGTCTGTCAGACTCTATCATGAAGCAGGAGCCTCACCTTTAGGCAAGTTCAGTAGTCATTTTTCTATGGGTCTTGCATAGCCAGTTCATAAAGCATAATATCAAGTATCTAGGAAAGAGCAAATTTTTGCCCAAGTGGCTAACCAACTCCATAAGAAGTCTCTTTGATGCCCATCTTCTCTTGAAGTAATTGATGCTGCCAGAATAGATGTGTCTCATTGTCATAAGAAGTCCTAAGTTTTTAAAAGTTCAAATGCCATATTCCATATGTCTTTGAAAGGTTTGAATATTAGTTATCTAACTGAAATATATCTCTATATATCTAGAAAACCTAACTAGCATGACTACAAGCTTGACTATTATAGATGACTATATATTAACCTGTATTTCTTAAATATACATTACATTTTTAAATGAGCTGCACAGACACAGCTTTATTCATTAACCAATAAAAGCAACACGTGTTCAGAAGGACTTCCCACACCAGCCTGGGATCCAGTGTCCTTAAAGGGAGTAGGCTTAGAATTGGATCCTAAGGGCACAAAGGTGGAGGCCTGGACCTGATTGCACGTTTCTCAAGATCTCTTTCTCTTGCTCTCCTTTGTCTGGCTGCCTCTTACTTTCCAGGCACTCTGCCCACTTGTAGCAGATATGTGTGTGTAGCCTGGAATGCTGGTCTTACCTATCTTAGCTTGAAAGGGTCTAGCCCCACCCTGGCAGTAGGTTAGAAAAATGATACATTAATGAGTTCTGCCTGTGTTTTCATTTTTTTACGAATAAGCACTGATGGGTGTCATCGGAGTGTGTCCAAATCAATGCATTATCTGAAGTGACTCAGCTAGAACAAACCAAAACAACAAAACATCTTCAGAGCTGAGCCAATCTTTCCTTCCCTTCAAGCCTCAGTGGAGCCGGAGACTAAAGCCTGAAGGGCTGATCCCTGAAGCAGAAGTGGCCCTCAGCTCAAAAATGCCCTGCCCCCTGCCTTGTATACCAGCAGTCCCTTGCTGCTTCTGGTCCTCAGGATAACTCAGAGACACTCCATGCCTCCCTGTAACCCCTGCTGCTTCAGTCCTTTGTTGAGAGGGCCCTTCCTTCTCCTTCACCCCTCACATGCATACTAAAATACTGACTCATGCTTCAAAGCTGAAGGATCCTTCCATTATTTATTTTTTACAACAAGTTTTAATTGGAAGTTCAGCAGCATGATCCAGAAGTCAGTTTGGTTCATGGAGACAGCAAAAATGAACAACACAAGGTCCCTGTTCTTAAACAAAATTCATTCTAAGACTGGACGAATGGTTTAGCGAGTAAAAGCTCTTAACCCACAAGCAAGACCATCTCAGTCAACACCCAGAGTCATAATGAAATGGATAACTAAGAAGGATGTAGTTGGTGGCAAGCATCTGTAATACCAGTGCTCCTACAGTGAGATGGAGGGGAGACAGGAGAATAGAACACCTCCAGGCTTGGAGGACAGAGTGATCTAAAGGAAGAGACATTCTGTCTTGACAGGAGACGTTGAGAGAATAAACTCTCCACAGACATCTTCTGATCTGTCTGGACACAACCATGTACACAACCCTGCTCACATATACACATATAATAATAAATCAATAGTTTAGTTATGTGCAGTAAGATGCACTGATAGCAAGAGATGCAGTGCAAGAATTCTAGAGAGCTCACAGTGCTGCGCATAGACCTCCATCTTGAACTCTTTTAGAATATCATAATAGGTCACACAGGCTCTCTGGGGTTGTTGGCCTCTGACATAGCCTGAGATGTGAAGAAGAAGACAGGAATTCTAGAAGATAGCAACCGTTTCACCTAATATCATTATTCCCAGTTTAGAGATGAGCAAGCACTGAGTGAGTGTCCCCAAATGCTGAGTTAACAAGCAGCAGGGCTGTTTCCTCTCCCAGTGCTTAGCAGCCTAAAGCACTTTCTAACTCATTAACTCAGCCTGGCTTTAACTTACCCTGGGAATCCAGGTACAAAGAATCCAGGGGTGACCTTTTTCTTTTTTGTCTTGAGACAGATATCACTCTCCATCCCAAGCTAGCTTTGGACTCCTGATCTTCTTAATCCTCCTGCCTCAGCATCCAAAACACTGGGGATGCAGTCATATGTCACTGTGCTCAGTCCTACTGTGAAGACAAAAGAACCAGAAGAAACAGAGCAGAACAGGTAGGTATGGGATGTTCTACACAGGGCCAAACCCTAAGCACAGAGGTTTGTGGTAGAAGCCAGTTAGTGTGAGATTGGGAATAACCCTGACTGGATAAACTTTACCTTAAAGCAGGAGTGCCATGGTGTTCGTGGAGAGCATGTGTGAGATAGAAGATGAACATCAATGATTTGAAAGTTTAACAAACTGGAGATGACTTCAGTAGGGGAGTGTTTTTTTTTTTTTTGAAAACATAATGTGGGTGTTCTCTTCTATGTAATGGTGACAACTTGATTTACATATTATAGGACTGTGATAAAGGTCAAATTAAGTAACAATAAGTGAGAGAGTACCAAATCCATTTCCTGATACATCACATTAGCTGAATTCTCATGAACTTTTCCTACCCTGCTAAGGAGGTGGATCTGGGCCCATTCATTTCCCCTGCCACAGATCAGGCAAGAGGCTGAGACCCTTTTCCATATGTCAGGGGAGATCCTGGTCACAACCTTGTTGTGGAGTGGCTTGGGACAGATCCGCAGGGCACCGAGCAGAGCTTGTTAGAGACAAGACAGGAGAAATGGGGTTCATCCTTAGCAATAGACCAAGGGAGCAAGGATCCACCCATCCGCCTGAGGGAAAGAACAGTTAATTGTATCATTAATAATATTTAGCAGAGTCCCAGTGCTTTCTCAAGCTAATTAATTCTGCTCCAAATCCTGGAAAACGAATGACTGGGTGTGTCAGAGAAGAGCTCTGTTTCTGAATTAGGGATGTGAAGAAGCTCAGCCTTCACAATGTCTGATGAAGAGAAAAGCTGTCTCACTGCTTCCTAGAGCCAAGTTACACTGGACAAAAAGAGGCCATTAAGCCCTGGTGGGTATTCAGCCCTTCACCAAGTCTGTCTTCAAATAAGTACAATTACCCAAGGAAATAACAACACAAGAAATCCCATTTTGTCATTTTTATTCTAACAATGTCCCAAGAGACAGTACCAAGAAATCATATTTTCTTTTCAGCTGGTATGATAGTTGAAATCGGTTTTATTCTGGAACTTAGTGTTAAGCCCTTGGGCCACAACATGTCTCACAGCTGCTCAACTCCATGTGTTTTGCCAACAAAAATCTGAGGCTGCTAAGGAAACACACTTTCTTTACTTACATATCAGTGACTATGAGAGACTAGAAGAGACAGATCAAGCACAAAATATGGGTAAATCCTCCGAGCACAAAATAAAACAAAACAAAATCACATGCGTAAACCTCGTTCCTGGAAAAACCGTATTAAACTGTTTGGAAAGATGGTGAGATAGAGCAGCATCACTGGGAGCCTAGAACTTCATCCTCCAGATGTGATGTGACCATTGCTGCTTGAGATCACAGCAGAGCTTGAAATCTACTCTCCAAGCCTCAAATGATCAGGCCTATGACATAAAACTGTATGACAGGAGTCATCTGCCCCTCAGCGGAGAGTCCAGTCACCATTCTCCTGCTTCCTGAGCACGGGCAGTGCTAGAGTTAGAGACGATAGGGGGTGGAGTTGGAACTCCAGTGAAAGTGCCCCTTTGGTGAGTTGTCACCAGTACCAGCATGGAGTTTCCCAAAGACACAGTTCTCGTTAAGTCACCCATGTACCTATAAGTACCCCCTCACCCATGCTCTTTTCCATAACTCCACACACTCATTGGTTCAAGAACTAGATTTGGATGTTCAAAACGTAATCTCAAAAGTTCTGGCTGCTGCTATGGAGGTTACCACCCTGTTACACGATCTTCCCTGATTTCTGGGAATCATTACAGTAACAATAGCTAATATCAACTCCTTCCTATGTGTCGGTGACTGTCCTAATGCCTTCCCTAACTTGATTCATCAGGTGAGTTTCATAACTAGCTTCACTTACAGTCATTCATTATCCCTTAACGGACAGCTTCGCTCCTGCCCACCAACGTTCTCCATAATACCATGCAGGTGTATGAAGGCCTGTGCGCTGCACTTCCCAAACTGTGTGTCAGCTGCCTTCCCTGACACTTGGTGTAGAAGTCCAAGAAATGGGCAATGAGTTTCTTCTTCCCGTGCCTTTGCCAGTGGTAGGAGTTGAAGCGGATTCTCTAGTGTATGTTACTGTAGGGATCACCGGAGAGCAGAAACAGCATCACCACCCTCCAGGAGTTCAGCAACAGAAACCTCCCATGTCTTTCCTAAATACTGAGCCACACTCGCTGAACCAGAGTGGCTCCCTTCTCCCCCTCGCTTCTGTATCTCCACCAAAGCGCTGCCACAATTTCTCACCCTCCAGTGTCTCTTTGCTAGAAATATCTGCAGGGCGTCTTACTTTCTTCACTGGGCTCCAGTAACTCATTGAATGCACAGAGAGGTTAAGTAGTGTGTTCCAAAGTAAACAGCCAGGCAGTAACCTAAAGTCCCAGTTTAAAAAGAGGCAAAACCCAGATGTAAACCAAGCCAGGGTCCTCTAAGTATATATGAGAAGACTCCGTTGCTGTTTTTCTCTTTCCACCTACATCCCACAGTTGAGTGGAAGGGGGGCTCTCAAAGGGATTGCTACGTGGCTGAGATTGCTAATAAATGGATGGGTATACATCACTCACACAAGCTCCATGTAAACCCCCACTGTGATCAGCAGCTGTAGTCAATGTTGGGTCAGTGAATGAATACATAATGATCAAATGAAGATGCTCCAAGTCTGGAACTAATCAAGCTGGGGAATGTGTGTCTCCCTACCTCTATACCCTTGCTGTTCTCAGACCCAGAGCCTGGCTGTGCCTAAGAAACCGAATACTCCCATCCATTATATAGTATAAATAGACCATAAGCACATATTTGTTAAACAAATAAATCACAAAAGCAATCAAATGGGCA